TCCTGATTAAGCTCAGCAGGATCAAATGCAACATTAACCAAGGAATCACAAAACCAGTAGTTTAAGCACAGGCAGCCGTAGGACACAAGCCTGAGCACAACCAAGACACAGGCAGTTTCCTGCCCTCAAAAATGAGAGGGGTTGGGAGAAGGGAACTTCCTGCACTTGAGAGGAACTGTTCTCATCAGGGGCACATCTAGCCAGAATATATGGGGTTGTTTATTTGTGTTATATATGTAGTCTATATATAGGAGTATTGTTAGAGCATCAGGTGATGTGCTTTATTATTACCAACTAGGCTCGAAGCCTGACAATGATACACTACTTTCTCTCACCATGAAAACTCAGCTAATGCCACGTCCATTCCCTTAGCACTCCCTGGAAATGGATTCCTCCCTAATGCTCTGGAAAAGGGTTGGTTCTTATTTTAAAAGAACAACCAACAACAAAATCAAAATAATGACAATTCTCCAGCTTTTGGCAACCAAAAAGCATACAAGAAGCTCTATTTGGAGTGAAAACGTTCAAGAAAGACTGGAAAATGCTGAAGAAAGCTGACTAGGAAGAAGGAAACTAACAAAGACAGAATTCCTTTAGTCCAAAACCCACCAAGTTTTGATAAAAAAATTTCAAGAAGGTCCCCATTTTTGACTCAGACAATGTGTTTCTCCAGCCTTGCCACAGGTAGCAGGAGCTAGTGAAACCATGACTGTGAAAATGTACCTAAACAGAAACGAGTCCCAGTGAGAAAGCTGTGCTCGTGCTCATTCTCACAAGTACTCTATTTCTATTGTAACGGGATAATTTTATTCTTGCTGTATCCCTATGGATTTTAATAGAGCTACCTATAAAATAGATTAAAGTTCATAATTTGTGTTGTGCAGAAAACCGTGAGACTAGGTTCTGTGTATTTTTGTGAGGTAAATAAGTGGCCTGATTTCCATTAATAAAGAAAGTGCCCTAGTTCCCATTAGCACCATTGAAGCCGTTCATTAGGATGACTAAAGTTAGAGAGTTCTTAAATCTTTGCCCAGGGTCTCTGAAGAAAACGCAGAGCCAAAGCCAAAGAGACGTTCAGGGAAAGTTTAAAATGCACAAAGAGGCCCCAATTCCCCAGGGCCCCGCGTCCCCCGTGGCCACACACAGCTGGGCACGGTCCCCCAAAAACACCGCCAGGCAAGGATTTTGGATTTTGCAGGTGTGCACAAAATCCAGAGCTGGCTTTGGCAGAACATACATGCTGAATATCAGGCAAAACGCTGCAGTTACAGACCCTTCGACAGAACAACGTTAAAAAGTGAGCAGGCAATCACTATTTCCATCTTACCGACGGGCGACTGAGAGACAAAGCAAGCTAGACTAGATGGAAATGCCCAGGAAAATTAATAGAGTTAATTTTTAAAGTGGATTAGTTAAACCACTAACACTTCTGTATAGACATTCATTCCAAACTAATGCTCCTTTTATTCTATTCAGTGTTATTTTATTCTGAAAGTGAATTAATTTAAATCAAATTGCAGCCAGTTCTGTTGTGAATAAGAGCATGCAAAATGAGGTTCAATGGAGTTCACAGGCACTTTTAGTTTACACCTTTTGTTAATTTAATTAATTGTCCTGAGTTCCTGAGCTGGCACAGGAAGCGTGCCAAGGTGCAAAGAGTTAAGGAGGAGGCTCTTCAGCTGCAGGGTCTGTTGTCCTCTTCCTCAGAGTGCTGCTCAACCATCCTCCTTATCAGCAGAGGGCACAGCCCCAGGTCCTTGATCCCGGGGGAGCCAGAGGAGGTGTTCCTGTCTCTCCCTGTCACCTGGGAAGTAGTGACAGCTCTGGGGGAGAGCATGTCATGCATTCAATGGGAGGATGGGACAAACACGCAGCACCTATTGACCAGGGGCCAGGAGGAAGCACTCGACCCAGGAGAGTGCATTCATTGACCTCTGTAGGCACCGAAAGCAGGGCCGTGTGTGACACATCACAGAGGGCACGGAGCAGGGATGTGTGTGACACATCACAGAGGGCACGGAGCAGGGCCGTGTGTGACACAACACAGAGGGCACGGAGCAGGGCCGTGTGTGACACAACACAGAGGGCACGGAGCTACGTTTTCGCAGTCAGCCTAAAAACTCGATAGCCAGCTCCACGACTTCTCCAAGATCAGATTTGTGGAGGTGTAACTCTATGATAAATATTAAAAGGTGTCACTGACAAAGGTCTATAAATACCCACTGGATTTTCCTTTCTTCCTTCCCCCCCCTTTTTTTTTTTTAAATTATATTCAGCTTAAAATCGTAGTTTCTTACAGCAACTCTCCATGCGATTTTTAGACTTCCCAAAACTGAAGCAAACTGAAGTGATCTCCTGGAGTGACTGCATCACACGCCTCAGGACAGCGCAATCCCATCACTATCCAGGTGGTTACTGTGGTCCCACCACAGCCACCCCTGGATCAGCCCCAGCTCTGACCCACTGGCAGGAGCCCTTCAGCTCAGCTAATGGCCAAAGACTCCTCCAGGACGCAAAAAATGCATGGAATGCTGCACATCCACTTCCACCCGTGTGCAGTCACTGTCCAGGCAAAGCCACGTGTTTTAAGGCCTCTCCACTGCTTTTGAGCATTATTTCCTTCAGCATCTTAACACACGCCTTCCTCAGTTCTCTGCCCGCGCCTCAGTCTGTCCATTCTGCCTTGGAATTAATTTAACCAGAAATCATCTTAACCTTCTAGGTACAGTCACCTCAGAGAAAAAAAATCTAGACGAACTTTTCTCTCCTTTTACAGCTTTTCCTGGCAATTAATGAGTCGTCCATCGAAAAAAAATACAGCATCATTGTCGGTACTCAGTGAACGCGGATTGTCTTTCTCTACTGTTCCTAAAGCTGCCCAACAGGAGACAGGAACTTAAAACTAAACAGAAGTTATCCCCAAGGCGCTGCTTACTGGGGGAAGGAGATGGGGAGCAAACGTTTGTTTAAGAGGGAGAGGGTAAAGTATAAAACAACAGCTCTAAGAGTAAAAGTTTGAGAGCCTTCGGGTCCAGTAAAGAAACTCGGGACAGTCTTGGGTCTCCTTGAAGAGAGCTGCTGGGTAAATCTGCAGCCCCTTCAGGAGGCCACGCTCATTTTTAAAATGTTCTTTAAAACTCCTAAAAACGCCTCCCAGCTCCCTAAAACGGGCAACCCTGAAATCTCGGGGAAACGGCAGATTTCTTCTCGGGGACCGGGGGGCAGACGGGCGCCGGTTCTCTGCGGGAGCCGGCCCTATAGATACAGCGAGACACGTCCCGCTCTCCTCATTTCCGAGGCCGATTCCCGGGACGCCCCCGCCGCCCACCGGTCCCGGAGCCCCCGCCGCGCCCGCAGAGCCCCGCAGCGCGCAGGGGGGCGGGGGGCGCACGGCGGGAGCCCGCGTCCCGGGAGAGCCCGAAATTCCTCCTCCGGGGAGCAGGTAGACCTAAAAAAAAATAAAAACAGGAAAAAAAAAAAAAAGAAAGAAAGGAGAAATGAATGTGGGCAAACTGCAAACAGCCCCTCAGTGACTGCCGCCAGCCCCGGGAGCGCCCGGAGCAGGGGCGGGAGGCAGAGCCGTCGGGGGGACCGAGCAGCCGCGTCCGGCACAGACAGCGCCGAGACGAGCCCCGCTCCGGGAGGTAAACACGGGATCGCTCGGGCTTCCGACGGGGAAAAGCAGGGAGATGTGTGCCCCGGGGGGGCGAAAAAAATGAAAGAAAAAAAATGTTAATGCAGCAGGAACTGTTTCCAGCGTGAGCAGAAATCACAAATCCAGCGGCACCGGCGCGTCACACCGGCGGCTTCTGTGCACAGCCCCGGACCGCGGGGGTACCCCGGGCCACCGAGATGCTGCAGCGGGGATTCAGACCCCCCCGAGCCCGCTGCCCACTCTGAGGAGCGGTCGCGGACGCCCCTCCGGCCGCCGCAGCCCCCGCGGGGTCACCGGGACTCGCCCGGTCCCAGACCCACGACACCCCCCCCCCCCCCGCGGCGGGGATCGCCTCCGGGCGGCGGCGGCACCGGGTCCGGCCCTGG